CACACACACACACACACACACACACACACACCTGATGCAGGTGAACTCTGATACTTGATTGACTTCACTTTATATTCTCTTATGAGTCGTAATCACTAATAAACAACATACAACTTATTCTGCTGTGTGTGTGTGTGTGTGTGTGTGTGTGTGTGTGTGTGTGTGTGTGTGTGTGTGTGTGTGTGTGTGCAGGCGAAGGCGTTCCTGCAGACGGCCGCTTCACTGTCTCCACACATGTATGAGCCGCACTACAACTACGCCACACTCTCTGATAAGGTACGACTGACTGTGTGTGTGTTTATGAGAGAGAGATGGAGTGTGTCTGCATGGGTACACATGTGGTGTTGTGTGATTTTGTTTGAATGTGAGTGTGTGAGTGTGTGTGTGTGTGTGTTCTGCTCAGGTCGGTGATCTGCAGAGCAGTTTTACAGCCGCTCAGAAGTCTGAGGACGCTTTTCCAGAGCATGTGGACACACAGCAGATCCTGAGGAGCCTGAGACAACACTTCAGCTCACTGTAGACACACACACACACACACACACACACACTCCTGCAGAATGAGAGATTAGCACTGGAATAAAGCTGCATTAATGAATGATCACAGGGAAAGGAAGAGCTCATTTCTGGAGAAGGGTCGGTGTGTTTGTTTGACTGCTGATGAATGTATTCATGCGTTTGAATGGAACAGTCCTCTATTAAGAATGTAAATCTGCTAGTGTTGATTGGCTGCAGGTCGATGATGTCATCTTCACTCCAATACAGTGTGTGTCCACAATCTCGGTGAGGTCAGGTGATCTGGAATCAGCCCTACTGCTGGTCTCGGAGCTGGAGAGTCCCTGTCTTCTCCTCAGCAGTGAATGTAGTAAACTCCTGTGTTAAATAAGATGTTAGTGTTCTGCGTCTCCGGCTGACAGCCATGCGGGAGTGGATCCTGTGTGCTTTATAGTGGATTTCCCCTCAGGATTCCTGGCTTTCAGATAGCTGATCAGAAGAACCTGTTCTACAGCAGAATCTGTGTTGATCAGTCTGAGAAGTGTTTCATCAGGTACATTAACTCACAGTGTATGATTATAAATCAAGTGTGAGTCTCTCCTCATGTCTGGATGCAGTGGGTCTGCTGTACATTATTTACTGTAAATAGCTGTG